GCAGCTTGCAGAGTGGCTGGCAGCAGGGAACCTCTCAAAAGAGCCTCACGGTTGGGCGCCCCACTCCCTGGCCCCTGCTCCCGGCGTCCGGCTTCAGGGGAGCCCGGCAGGAGCCTCCGTGGGCCTCAGGCCCGTGCCCGCCCTCAGCCTCACCTGGCACTGACCTGAGCCAGCTTTCGCGAGGGGGCCTGGGGCGGCAGCAGGGTGGCGCCTGGCTCCCGCACTCCGAAGTCCCTTGTGCACGAGTCGCCGCGCTGCTTCTGACTCCGATTGTTGCTCCGATTGTTGCTCTGAAAAAATTGAGAATCCTCAGCCAGGGAGCGACCCTGGGTGCAGCAGACTTCTGTCTCCCCGCTGCCTCCCTCACAGGGAACTTCCGTACATCTGATAGAGGAAAAGCACAGGAAACCTGGAGAAGACATCACACGATTAAAACCTGACTCCCACACGGAGGTGGGGGCAAAGGGGTTAACATGACCGGTCACTCAGTCACAGAAACCGAGACCCCGAGTGCCTGCGACAGGCATAGGGCCCTGGCAGGTATCAGACTGCTGTGCGGAGTCTTCAAAGCACAAACCTGAGGCGAAGATACAGAGATCGGGCCCATTGTGACGTCTCCAGGCCCTTCGGATTCCACAGAGCACCCCAAGATCAGCAGCAAGCAGGCGTGAGCCCCTCCCAGAGAGCAGTCTACGTCAGGCGGTCTCTGCCCTGGCCCGGGCAGCGTCCGCCCACCTGTGCCCCTGCAGGTGTCCTTCCCCTCCCCCTTCTGCCCCCTGTCTGCCCGTGACCTGCACCTGCCGGGGCTTCTCTGACCCTCAGCAGAGGCCGCTCTCCGCCTGGACCATGGGGCCTCTCGGCAAACCCGTCCCTGGGGCAGCTCTTCCTGCCCGCTGGCGTCTACGCAAGTGTCCAACACCCCTCTGTCCTTTTCCCTAACGACCCAGCTCTTAAAATATAACTGAGTCTCTGTCTCGTGGAGAAACTCACCTGGGAACTCGCTGCGTGCCGCAGAAAGGGGGGTCTTGGGGAAACTTTTCCCAGCGTGATCCCGGGGACCCTGCACTAACTCCAAAAACGAAATTAGGCCCTCCTGCTCTGCTCCCCACTCCGTCTCTGGGGAATCCTCTCACCCCCACACCTCAGTCCTGGACCCCAGTTCTTCTATGCAAAACTAACCAAATAAAATCTTTTTTAAAAATTAAGAAAAAGCAATATAAAAAGGATGAAAGAAGGTGGAAGGAAAAAAACTAAATACTGTTAAATGGTGACTACCAATGTGAAATCAGTTTCCATTTTAATTTTGGAGTAAGCTTTTTAATAATGTCAAGGTAAATTTGCTCCCATCTATCTCAACAGGAAATTGGAAGCAAGAAGTCGGGAGAAGAAGCCTGCTTTATGTTCAGATTTATTCGGGCCAGGGACAGAAGTTGAGGCAATGGAGAAAAAGTGGGGGCGGCCTCGGAGACAGTGCCAAGGAGATCTACTACTTCGTGCCAGCCAGGACCCTGCACAGAGTAAGTCTTGTGCACCCTCATTACTGGACACCCGTGTGCCCAACTCTTCTAGACACAAAACACTGTAGTAGTTTACACGTGCGTTCATCAAGGAAAAGGCCGGCCCAGTGAATATAGCAGACCCCCAAAATG